TATACTAATTATTAAGATATATATTAGGTAGAAAATTTAACATCTTCTACATTAGTCTATTCTTTGCTTACAGGTTAAAAAGCATGCTCCCTTGTTATTTTTGTAAGTGAAATATAATTTCTTTCATTTTCTTTAAATCTTTTAATATTTCCTCTTATACTTATCACTTAAGTTTATATAGATAATTCTGACAAGATATAATATAAGTTTGGTTTTTGTTTTAGCGAAAAGATGTTAGTAGGCATTAGTGTCAATAATATGAATTTAGGCAAAGAAACGTAATGATGAGAGAGAAAAAAGATAAATACCAATGTTAATAATTAAATAAAATATTGATGATATAAATACCAATCTGGATGAGAAAAAAGGTTGAATTAATAAAGGATGTTCAGGGGCATGGGTGATGGGTGGTTTTGGTATTAGATTTAGTTTTAGTTTCTTTTAAAAAACTATAAAGGTAGGAGGTAATTTAGGAGGTTTTGTTAGGGGTAATTTATTATTTTTGAATTTATATTTTAGTATTTGGTCCTTCCAAATAATTATGATTTTTATGATCCCTTCTAATAAATACTATTTTTTCTAGGTCCTTCTCCATAATTTTCCCCTTTTTTTAATGGGGGGATTTTTCAACCAAAAAAAACAATGTGTCCAAAGCTAATAGAAAAGGAAACATTTGAATTGTCAACTACTCCGAAGTCCAGTCTCAATTTCTTTCTCTTCATTGTGTTCTTTCCAGCCCTCCACAGACGTTACAACCAGAAGGTCCCTCTCTGCCTGTTTAAATCTCTCATAAACCCGTTCCAAAAAAAAATCTGTTTCGGCCCACAACAGCGATCTTAATTAGTTTCGATAAAAATCTATTGTTCATTTATTCTACTCCCTCATCCATAGTAACGCTCCTGGACATGTCCAAAAAATTTCAAAACCTTCCACACGTTCTCTTGTTTTCATGATTTGCGGCTGCTTAATTGTCCATTATTTGCATTTTACAACCTCCCTCCACTTTATGGCAAAATAGTTTAGGTAAGTTGATCCCAATAGTTTATTAGGATTAAGGTATGTCTCCAGGCTTAAAGAACGCTTACAGATTTACTTACAGATCACCCATAAATAAGATTTTTACATAGACAGGGGAATTCTAATTTACAATTTTATAAGTTGTGAATTGATTGGTTCCTCCATTCACATTGCTTAATGGGATCACGTGCTGATAGCCCAACTATTACTGGGCCGTGACAAGGATGGGCCTCAGGTACCCATCTTGTTCATGCTTCTCCTCTCTGTTGGGTTTGGCCCACTAGTTTGGCACCAACACGGCGATTATCATTTTGTAGTGTAAATTGCAGTACAAAATAAGTTTTATATTTAAAATTGGAAGAATAGTTTTTTTCCCTTCAAAATTTCGAAGATCAGACTGGAACTCTCAGCAAACTAGGTCTAGATTTGCTTAGTTACTCGTGGAGCTTTAAATATGATCAGTTCTGTATAATTTATAACTGCTAATTTTGTCTGTGTTCGAAGGAGCACCCTCAGTTTTAAAAAATGCATCAGTGGTTAGGATAAGAGACTTGAAATTTTCCAGTTCGAGGTACAGGGAAAAAAAAGACTTGAATTTTGTAATTTTGAATCACTTAAGATGTGAATTCGAGGGTGTAGGATTTCTTAAATTTCTTTATTATGACTTTTGAAAATATTATTTGAATTTTATAATGACAACTTTTCAAAAAAAAAAACTTATAGTAAAAAAAAAGGGGCTCTTTTCATCGATGAAGCCAACTTAAATCAGGACCAGCAATTATTCACCTGTCAAAATAAAATTTTAAAATGTACAAATAAAATTATAACTTTGCATTTTAAATTAAAAATCTCAATATCAAAGTCTCTTGAAAATAATTTCAATTCACATTGCCTGAACGATAATTTTTACTGAAGAAGGAAAACAGAAACACCAAATAAGTGGAAAGAAAGAGAAAAAGAGGATTGCCTGGAGTTCTTTTGATGTTCTAGACTTCTAGGAGAAAAAATGTAGCCAGTGACCTCGTGTCGACGTGGTATGAAAATTCTTTTATGAAAAAAAAAATGGTCGATTTAACTTAACTTGGCCCCATGATTTAAGAAGAGGAGCCTTCTTTCTCTCAGTCTTTTTATAGGTTAGATTTCCGCATTCATTTGCCATGTTTTTGTAATTATCTGCAGCTGGACTTGGAGGTAATCATTTTTTTCATTTAAAACATGTATGTAATTGTCACTATAATAAATAGTAGGATTAAGGTCTAAAGGTTTAAATTAACAAAAATATTACTCCTCCGATCCTAAATGTAAGACCCTTATACTAGTACCCTTATACACACTATTATAAAGGTCTTACATTTAAGACCGGAGGAGTATATCAACAAGGGTTGAGTCTAATAAGAAAAGCAAGTCCCTCACAAAATCAAGAATCCATATTTGAATTCTTGCTCAAATGAGTGCTAATATTTAATGTCTGAGAGTAATTCAAATGTGATTATTTTTAATAGAAGGATAGTTATACATGGGAAAAAAGTTATACTAAGAGACTAAAATAAAAATGTTTTATTCTGAACGTCAAGATTCTTCGATGAAAAAATTTAAATTGTGATGGTTTTAATCATGTACTTACCTTAAAAAGCTGTTTTTAAACGGTCTTAATACCATTTTAAACCAGAACTAAGGCTTGAGCTAATATTCCAGGGACTAGGAGACGCTAATTTGCCAGTTGCAACGTGATGGATTTTCACTCGTGGTCTTGCTCCCCAAAAAAAGCAAAAACCTCATCCGGCCGCGCCTTTCAGGAGTCGATGGCAGATCTCATCTGCAGGAGGAGAGCGTGGTAATCACATACGGGGGATTTGAGGGAAGCGAGGGGAGCGTGAGACATTGGAACGGCAAAGTCGCGTGGGGTAAAGCAGCCCAAAGTGACCAGCTGGCAAGGATGAATGAGAGCGAGACACGTAAGCAAATCGGAATCAGGAAGATGCCGAGGCTGCCACGTAGGCGGAAGAAATATCCCAGGCTATGAGAAGTACAGAGGAAATAAGGGGGAGGGCACATACAGACCACAGAAAGTATTAGGCCGGACGAGGAGCGCACACGTGGCATCATTATCCACCACAAACCACTCCCCCAATGCCTTTCCTTGTTATGGCTCCTGCTCTCCCTGCACGCTGCTCTACCCTCCGTACCATCTTCTGTCAAATCGCAATTATAACCCCCCAATTCCTCCGCCCCCGCCCATCTTTCTTTTCATATCCTTTTTCCTAAAACTTCTCCGAAAATATAAATTACTGAGAAAATCGTTAAAAAGGACCCTAAAAATAAAAATTTTTATTGAGGAACCTGTTTATAAAAATTACTCCATCCGTTTTTTATTATAAGAGATGAATAACCGAATTACATTAATAAAAAAATAGTTAAAATTAGTTAAGAACAATCAATGTGTAAAAAATATAATTTTTTTCTAAAAATACCCTCATTAATAAGGAGAGAGAGCATGAGAGAGGACAATTAAATTATTGAAAGAAAGAGAAGTGGGAGGGAGAGAAAGTATAAGTTGGAGACGATAAATATGAGTAAAATAGGAAATCAACACAAAAAAGTAGAGACAATTTTTAAGTGTCTCTTATATATAAGAACATGCTATAAACATTAAATGTCTCTTATAATGAGAAACGGAAGGAGTATTATTAAGACCCATATTTTTTTTTATCAAAATCTATACTAATATTGTCACAAGTTCTTATTTGTAATTTTTTATTTTAAAAGTGTTTTTTTTACAGTTTTACCTAAATTATTCCTCTTTTTTCTTACCCTTCATGTTTTAAAAGTATTTTATCACATAATTTTGATTAAATTCCACGTCACTCTTGTTCATCATAAAAAATAATTTTCAAACCGAAAATCAATTTTATCGCTCCATAAAAATTATCAACATACTAATACTAAAAATCGATATCCATACACTTAAAATATAAAATTTATATTTAATGGGTACTATTCCCAAATTGAATGCAGGAAACAATTTTGGGGTAGTCGATTTTGTGAGCTTCAATAAACACAGTTAAAAAAAGCAAATGAGTGTTTCTAAATTTTTCTTCAGAAAAATATTTTTTATTTTCAATTAGTTTATAATTTTATTAGTGACGCATAAAATTTTAGAAGAATTTATGCATACGAATTAAGTTCAAGAAATTATTTCCATAAGAAGTATTCATGTAATTAAAGGTATGTTATTTTATATTTAAAAAAGATTCAAAATTTTCATACCATAAGTGAAAAAAAGGATAATATTGTAAAATGCTATCAAACCAAATTACATTAGTTAGTTGTTTCGATATCTGATGATAAAATCTAAATAGATGTCCCTGATAGCGGATAATAAGACTACAAAGTCAAATCAAATCAAAACATTATCAACAAACAAAAATCACACTCACCAACTGTTCATTTATATACATGCATAGGTGTTTACAAAATCTAAATATTAAATTCATTAGCTGGTTTTGGCCAAAAAATTCATTGGCTGGTCAAAAAAAAATTAAATTCATTGAATGCATCCCAAAAGTCGTACGAGGTATGTTCACTAAGTTTGGTCCAAATGCACAGCTCCACTGTAGCTTGAATATTATAAGTAAAATCTTAATTGACACAGTAATCTTGATAAATGTTGATGGAGTCATTTGTTATCTTATACTCCCTCCTCGTTCCCTCCAATTTTTGTTATAAACTTTAAATAATAAAGAATTAGCTAAAATAAATTAAAAAATAAATAGATTAAAGATATTTTTTTATTTTTAAATATACTCTTACACTAAATAAAAAAAGAGAATATATGAAAAAATATAATAAAAAAATTATGTTACATTAAACATTAAGATAAATATTAAACTGATAAAATGGAACACGTCCTTTTTTTTAATTTGAAGCAATAAATAGCACGGAGTGAGTAGTTTGGAAGGTGGCCAAAGAAGGTATTGCAGCGAAATCTGCTGGAGTATAGAGTTGGGGTCAGTTCCGGGATTCCACGGAAAATCTTCTGCTTTTCTCTTCTTTCCGCCGTTCATCTATTAGCGGAACAGAGGATATTCGTATAAAAAGGAAATGAGAGCAAGAAATCATATAGAAACACAGTAGACTAACAGAAGACCAGCCCCGTTTTGACACGACTAGAAGATGAAGAACTGCGAGCTGTGCAGGGTTCCGGCGAGGACCTACTGTGAATCCGACCAGGCTAGTTTATGTTGGGACTGCGATGCAAAGGTTCACGGAGCTAATTTCTTGGTTGCCAGGCACTCCCGGACCCTTCTATGTCATGCGTGCCAGTCTCCAACGCCATGGAAGGCCTCCGGTGCTGTTCTCGGAAACACCGTTTCGGTTTGCCGGAACTGTGACGGAGGAATGAACTTAAGCGATGAGGACGGCGAGGGAAGCGAAGGAGGCAATGACACCGAAACAAACTCGGAAGACGATGACGACGATGCCATGCTTGACGAAAACAACGACGATGACGCCGACGGCGATGAGGGAGGCGGTGATGGGGAGGCCGATCATCAAATAGTCCCCTGGTCCTCCACGACGCCCCCACCGCCTGCAACTTCTTCGAGCAGCGATGAGTCTAATAACGGCAACAGAAATGTCTCTGAATCACGAACATCAGTTTCCTCGAAACGAAGGCGCGAAAATGCATCCAAAAATAATTTCCAGGTTTCCCTCAGATTTCTTTATTATTTTTACTCAAGTTTTTGTTTTGTATCTTGTGATCTGGTTGTCTCCGTCATATTTGTGGATTTCTCTCCACTTTGAGTTTTGAAATTGATTGTTATGGTTTCTGGAAACAACGTGACTTTGGTTATGGGACGGTCAGGGTCCAACTGATGGCGGGTGAGACGACGGAGTTAACGAAGCAGCAGAGAAGATTGGTGGTGACCACGGGGAACGCCGCCGTGAAACACGAGACGATGGGCTCGCATCGCATTCGGTGTCTACGTACAGATCGCCGTAGAGATGAACGGCCCAAGCAGGTTTAAGATTGCTCTTGGAAGGTGATTGTTCTGGAGACGCGAGCCGAATGGAATTCGTACTATCAGATATTATTATTTTATTAATTATTTATTATTGATTAACTAATTGCACTACTGATCAGACATCTTATTTTCATGCTTTCTGAAAATAAAATTTGTTGTTGCGTGGACAGTGACAATGACCTGTTTTTTTTTTTTTTAAATTACAATTACCAGAATCTCGTAGTTTTGTTTTTGTGATTAATTTGAACTTTGTCGTTTACTACGTAATAAATACGAGTATTATTGTTCATTTCAGACTTCGACAAAATAGCAGCACGCTTTAACTCAGGAACAAGTGTTTGAAAGTCATAATTATATCCGACGGCAATATAGCCAATGTATTCGGGAAAAATTATTTTCCTAAAATTTGAAGTCTCCATTTTGATCAATTGAATCTTGAGGGTTAGAAATAAATCTCAAAAACGGAATGAATGTTTCGTGTGCCTTCCGTTGGCTTGTGATCCAGAGTCAGTGAAGTGTTTTCCATTAATCAAAGTGCCCCTGGTTTTATTCGTAGTATGAACAGTATAATTTGACCAATGATTAAGGGCAAGATAATGCGTGTTTGGTCTGCCGAATGTCGTGACGTGCCCCTAGTGGTGCTGGGTTTAGGCCTGGACTCCTGCTAATGATACAAGGTTAGTTTCGGAAATGCACAGAGTAGGCATATCCTGAAATGCTGTCTGGATTAGTACCAGGATTAATGAATGGTGATGATTCCAAAAGATATTTTTATTTTTAAAATAAACTACTTGACCGGATCTGCAAGCAAACATGTGGCTGTGAGGAGCTTTCCTCCGCTTGAGATTAGTTATTAATTTTTTTATTACAGTACGGGTTGATCGGGATAAAGATATAGATATGCTCATCTTGGGGTGATCTTTATATCGCTCCCTATAAGGATAAATCATGAGTGGGCCCCGCATATTATTGAAGTGTTGGCAGGTCTTCCGCTCGACAAATTCAGCTTTAAAATTTAGTACTGCTAAAGTTACCATTAAATAGACCCAATAGTATAGTGAATGGATACATCGGCTATTAAATTCTGGTGTTCCACATTGAGCTGGCCCCCTACAATACAAAGGTGAAACATATTACAAACGACTGAACCAACATTTTGTTATTAGTCCCAAATCAAAAAAATTCACAAAAAGGGGGATTTCTTACAAGTTTAAGGACTGTCTTTATCTAGTGGGTTAGTTTTTGTGGGATGATCTCTCTCTTAACTCGTATTTGCAACACATTATAAAGGAATAGGATTGATGATCTGACCAGTCTCAAAGATGACAAAACCCGTGTGTTGAGCTGTTCACGTTTTGAAATGATTAGTTTTCATGCACTCACACAAAAGCAACATCAAAATCATGTCAAGGCCCCCCGGGGGGGGGGGGAAGTGAGAAAGAAATAGGACTCGTTGGAAAGTCAGAGAATAACCCAAAGAAGGAGAAAAATTAAAAAGCGAGGTGGTAGTGGGCTGACTGGTTCATGTGGTGCAAATTCGTTAAGGGTGCGTAAGGACGAGGAGGAACGGCGTGCTTTGTGGCAGGTGCGGTTCCATATGCTTCGTTTTTGGCTCAGTTGAAGTTCCTCAATGCCCTGAAAACGACAACAGAATCCACTCACTTTTGTTTGTTTTTCGCCTTTCTTTTATCATGAAACTGAATATATTGTTGTTTGCTTTTCAGTTTTGGACGGCTTCAAACCCCCGACATGTGACCCTGTCCCTATTATTCCGCTTTCAACAAATGCGCTTCCTCTCATCTCACTTCCTACCGTTTCATCTTCTTCGCTGTGTGAGCTCCAAATTCTTTGTTTTATCAATAATTGTTTGTCGTACAAGGTTCCCTTTTTCAATGTTTCATTACGAAACACATGTGGGCTGCCTCTCATCATTCATCACCAACCACTTCATTAATAAAAGGGAAAACGCTACCGGGTCTCTCTTCCTGGCTATTTTTTGTCATCTCTCTGCCCGGTTTAGCGTCTTTTAGATATATTCCAATTCTTTTTAAGTTAACTGTGAATATCCACGTAATTATATTCAAAATGACTTTCAGGGGGTTACTTCACTTTATTGGTGTCGTAAAGGAACACATGCTTGGTGTTTTTTTGGGCCATGAGATATTATCGTTTTTTTTCCCCCACCATTCGAAATATTCTCGTGTTTAGGACTTCGGCTCACTGGAAGGAAGGATTTGATTTTGACAAAGCTGACGAATATTTTTTATATTATAATGTCAAATAAAAATGGATGAAATGATTTTTAAAAAAAAATACTTTTGTGATGTGCATACACACATATATAGAAGGCGTTCTTTTTACAAGGCATTTGATAGTCTTAACTTTTAAAGAGTATTAAATGTTATTTTTTCATATATGCCTATATATGAGTAGTGAAAAAGCAAAACTTAATACGGAGTCGAATATTAGTGCAATTAACAAAAATAATATTAAAAACTACTTGAATTTTGTGATAAATTTAATACTTTTAATTATTTTTATCCATACACATAAGATAGTTAGAAATGACTCATACTTGAAATGAAAGGGAAGGGAGCATATCATTGGAGACACACAAAATCCGATCTGTTTCAAGGGATATGTTTGCTCCAGGCTCAGCGATTTTCCCTCCATTTCCAAGCTTCAAATTCTGTTTCTTCTTAGCTTGAAAACCTCCCCTGTATATGTCTGAACAATTAAAGCGACCACTAATCACGCCCCCATTATTGGATCAACGGGGCTGCATATATTTCTGTACTAACCCGTGGCAAAATGTTGTGAAACGAACGAAAGCATGATTGCACTAGTGCCTTGATTGACAAGTAATAACCAAACAAGACGACACGGATGGACTAAGATGTCGTCATAACGCCCACATTCACATTCTCAAATCGAGTACTTGCTGTAAAAACTGGCCAAGTTTGTCTCCATGATCAGACATTAGTGATCGGACTACATAAACTGAAGCATGATTTCGACCTCATGTTCTCTGTTTAACATATAATTCTTGCGGAAATCTTTGTGCGAAACTATAAAAATATTATTTATGACCTTTAAATTTAGAAAGGAGTATAATCTATTTTGAAAGCTTTAATTTATGTTTATCTTCATATTTAATGTATTTTTTTAATGTTGTCTTTAACTATTTTTTCTCCTGTTACATTTTTCCACACATTTTCTTATATCATTTTTCTCATTTATTATAAGGGTTTCTAATCTATTTTTTATTTTTAACTAAATGTTCCTTATTTATGAATTTTATAACAAGGACAGGGAGGAGTATTAATTTTGTGGACCCATAGAAATCGGCAGTTGGCTTCAGAAGTAAAAACTTCCTCACCAGAAAGTTCGCACTGCCGCACGGAGAGCTGAAAGGGGATGAATTGGCGAAGACGAGTGACTGACATTTGGAAATTCATGGGCCACCAGATTGTGCAGAGGGGAATGGCACCCTATTAAATTGGCTTCCACCAAACATAAGGAATGGTCAGACTGTGGAGAAGTCAGGTCATAATAGGTGCCAGTATTCTGCCGCAAAATGGAGCATGGGCCACCAGCCATTGCAGAAGTAACTGCGATTGTTACAGAGAGACGGGGCACGCATATAATCCTGCTAATTTGATGAACTTGGTTTTAATCAAGGGACATCATGCGAACCGACTAGTTTTCACTTTGCAGTAGCAGCTGAATTAAACCTCGCAATGCATGCCAAAATGCTAGTTGAATAAGTAAACTCGATGCATGGTATGTCCACTACGATCGTAACTACAATTCCTCACAACGTTCTAGCTGGCGACAGCGTGGTTACGCCTGAATTTCTAGGAGAGATTATTATTTAGATGGTACACTCGACTTCTACAAATCAGTGTTATTGATACAATGAGATAAAAAGGTGTAAAGGCGAAAAGAGAGGCTAAGAGTACACATGAACGTCAAAATTCATCATCAATGATTTCTTTTTCATAAATGAAACTCAGATTGACGGGAATCTTTCCCGACAGCTCAGGAAAGAACCATGGGTTTGCCACACAGTTGCCCAAATTCGTCTTCTAAAACTTTGTACAAGTTTGCTTTGTTCCGCCTATAAATCCAAGCTCTAGCTTCTTGATCCCAATCAAACCTAGATGGACCACTGCAAACAAAGATACGATCCATCGGACAGGCATCTAAGAGAAATGAAACAGGTACAGAAAAATGCTTAAAATATATTTCATCCCACAGTTGGTGCAGACCAAAAACACTTTTTTCAGTGAGCAACCGCCCTGACCTTGGCTATATTAGACGAGCGATACGCCCATGATAAGGATAAAAGTTTCCTGCATGGCTGCATCTGATAATTGTGCAGAAGACCAACATGTCTTTGCTTCAAAAAAAGAAAACTCTATAGAGGGCCATAGGTTTGCGTTTTCTCACCCTTAAAATGCATCTCAAGATTCTTAGTTTAATGCTTATACTTAGACGCAGAATACGTCCAATGGTGAGTAAACTCACAATGTTCTCCATTGGATTATCCTTCAACAAATATAATTAAACCTGTAGATTTGGAATAACAGAGGCCTCCAAAGTAACAAGATAGTCTAAATCACTATAACCAATCAAAACGTCAATGAGAGCTAAACTAGTGATTTACTGAAGTAACCGTCAGAAAAGAAAGGACACATGATGCTTGTAAGATACTCTTTCAAAAGTGCATCAATAGGTTTGTCTACCTATGTTCTTGGAAGGATGAAGTATTCAAATCTCCACATACAGGGTACTACGACTACAGCCATCTCATCAAAATTATAAGACACACTATAAACATCAAATCTCCTCCCTACTCATTGTTTGAATATGAAAACGTTAGAATTTTTACAGAAGTGAAAACCAACATGAGTAAATGGGTTCTTTCGCAAACACTGCACATAAATCTTTCCTCATCTCAAATCCTGTATGTCAGAAATTTCAAAAACGGCAGAGAGGAGATTTTAAACCAGTTAATTACTTGGCGGAGTTTTGCAATCGCATTTCTACCACCTACTACCTCATTTACGTTGATAAGGTAAGACCAATGACAAGTCAAAGGGATTTAACTTCAATGTCAATAACTATCCAGAGTGGTACAACCTACACATTATAATTTATGTGAACCTTCTAATGATGTTTTGACAAAATTTGGCATTTATCTGGCAAATGTTGGTATTCATGCATAATAGAACAGCTCCGCATGTAAAGCACATGCAACTAGCATGCTTCTTTACTTGACAAAATGAACTAATTTGCATGCAACCTACAGCACAAATATTCCTTTGCAAGAAACAGCTAAAAGATTTCAAGAAAAAAACCAAGCATGGAAAATTCTGAAGGGAAGGAAACCGATAACACAAATAAATACCTGATGGGAGAAGACAGCCATATTTGTCTATTTGGTGTTTGTTTGTTTAACACATAGGTGCCCAGGTCCCCCAGTTTTACAGTCAACACATCATTCTGCAAAATGCTATGACATATTAAAACACATAATACACACTCCATAATAGAAATTCGCTTCTCAAACTAACAGGCGAAATGTGGAAATGACCAATTCCAAAAAAGATTTAATAAAAAAAAATCGTTAAGAAATATATTTTAGAATACCAAATAATCAAATTAAGTTTCGATTATCAAGTTATAAATTTGAAAATTTGATTCGTTCGACATCAATTTGTAATTTAAAAATCTAAAAACTTTATTTTCCCTTTCAATAAATATTTGATTATCAATTTTCATTTGCTAATAGTCCCAGACAATCGTCCTCACCCCATAGTCTATGTCAAATCCATCAACTTCAACGGAATCTCCATAGACCTATCAATCAACAAGGCAAATCAGATCATAAGTGCCTAAATTCAAGAATTTAAACAATATAAAAATAATATTTCGATCGTCGTTTCCATCACAGTTACAGAACATTTCCCAAAGTCACAAATATCATATAAGATGGATGATAAATGAACTCAAAAATCAGTAGTGGATGTCAATACTCTGATAAAACAATAGCTAGAGATACCTCGAGTTTCTCTTGTAGTTCATGTATAGTAATATCTGCCAGTTTGTGAAATTCATCCTCCTGCAGTATAGAACTGCATTCACATCAATCATTACCAACCTATTCTTGCCCGTTTCTAATTGGAACAACGCTAACAATGCGATAATGTTATTAACTACACAACTTAGTTGCACAAAATAAGAAAGGTAAACCAATTCAATAACAACTGTTATTCATATGTATTCAGTACTTAAATTCAACCAAGCAACTTAACCATAACGGTTGACGCAGTTAAGTGACTGCAAATGAACCCAACCAACAGATAATTCTGATGAATTTTAAATTTCCGGGAAACTACCTTTTCCCCATTTTCTTTGGTTTTGAGGATCAAATAGAACACTATTAACTCAGGGGCGGGAGCGTTCCATAGGAAAATGAACCAAGTACAAGAGGAGACTGCATACCGGTAATCAATAGCAGTGGGGCCTTCAACATTCAAACTGCGAGAGCAAAAGCTTCGGGAAGGAATTGAAGAAGGAGGCAGATGAAAATTCTCCAAGAAACCCAGAATTTGTGACCCCTTTAAAGGAAGAAGCCGGGTCCCATGAACCAAAGAGTAAGAATTTGAAGATGGGAATGCTAGTGAGAGCTTCACCGACCTCGAGAGCCTTCTCAGCAAAAGCAGCCTCGAAGCCATGATTGTAATTTCTGGAATCGGTTCGGCTCTGCGCCTCCGATTCCCACACTTGAGGGAGATTCAAAGAGACTCTCAATTTGGGCCGCTTATGCTGGATTGGTTAACCCACAATTTCGGAAGGCCCACAAGACCCAACTATTATTGTTCTTGGGTACTACCAGCTGGATATGGAGCGAAGTTACTATCTTTACGCCCAGATGAATGTGGCCTGTGGTGGCCAGAAATAAAGTGGCGTCTATGAATTGGTAATTCCAGGCATTGTTTCCGTTACAGATAATGTCAATTGCGACTCGAAACGTTTTCTGATTTTCCTACTTGTGCTCTTTCTGTAAAAGTATTTGCCATTTTACCCTTTTACCAGCATGATTCCTACAATGCCGAGATTCATAAGGTGCTCAAAGAAGAATAAATTTGTTATAAATGAGATTAAAAAAATAATAATAACTTGAATTTTTTACTTTATATGTACCTGAACATTTCATGAATTTGGACACTATAGGGAATCCAAAATGCGTGCATGTGTGTGTAGTTTTTTTTTTCCCACTGTATATGTTGCCTTTATAACATATATCAAGGGCTAAATTCATTGCTGCTGTATCAATTGGAAAGCAGAGACTCGAACCGCCTTTTTTTTTTTTTTTGATAGAAGGGAAAGAAAACAAAATTACAAACTAATCTCCGGGGCCTAATCTCATAAAACAGGTAACAGCATCAGTACACAAAAGTTGAAGGCGTAAGGATTCGCCAGAGCTCTTTTTGCTAAGGAGTCAGCCACCTGATTGTCGTCTCTAGCTAAGTATTGTAGTATCACACGCCAATCCCGTTGCAACATCTCCTTGGGTTCCATAATCAGGTTGAAGTCGTCGTGTAGGTCAGGGGGGGTCCGTCTGCAGAAGCTTCAAAGCTTCCTGAGAATCTGATCGTAAGAGCACATTCCTATGACCTCCGTCCCAAGCTCTTTTCAAGCACATTCCTATGACCTACGCCTTTGTTTCGTGTAACTGAGTTTAATGAAAAATATAGTCAACCGCAGATACGGAGGGGAGAATTCATCTATGCTATATATGCATGAGTACAGTAATTTCAACGTCGGATGCCGTGGAAAAATGCCATAGTAAAGTTTCATCGATTATGTCTTCATCTTGGGGGTCATTGTTTACATCAACATGTCTGGTTTTACAGAAGAGAACTGACGATGTTATAAATATATCCAGCCTAACAACTGTGCTAATCTAATATTTTCACGAGTGAACATTTTTAGGACGGTCCGCATTCATGTTCTTGTACTTGGGAGTTGCCTGCTAAATTGTACAAAACAAGTTACTTGCGTATTCTGGTTCCTTGGAGATTTTCTCTGTTCTTAGCTGATAGCAAATTTTCCTAAACTCTTTTATATAATATGCTTTTTCAATTACGGTGCAGACATATCCAAATTCCGAGGTTCAAGTCGGTAATGTTTGACAATTAATTAAGTCAAACGATAAGCCATGTGAAACCACTTTCTCTCGGCATCAAGATAAATCCCATCGGACCAATTCTTGGCCTAGTTTGGTCCACTAAGACACCGTTCCATCACAGTTAGTTCAACTTCATTATATACTTTTTTGTATTTAAAAAAACTTTATTATATATTTACCAATGACATTGGATGTAACCTTTAGTAGGAGAGATATATATTTAGCTTTCAATAATATCTCAAATAAATTGTCTTTAATAAAAAAAATGTCTATGCCAGCATTAAAAAAAAAACTTTATTATATTTCATGCCTATAAAAGCCAAGCCTATGCAACAGAACCAAGTTCATCGCTTGGAGCGCGCTCGCGTTTTTAAGTCAACACGACTGGCGTTTCGTAAACTTGTGTTTCTGCTGGGCTTTATTGTTTTTTTTCCCTCCCTTTTTGTCCTGTCTTTTGGTAAATTAAGTGCATCAGATCTGAAGTTGGCAAAACAACTGCAGCAGATAAGCGGGTCAGAAACCCAAAAAAGAAGAAGAAGCAGCTCAGTGTACAAGGCTCTCATCAGGTGGAATCACTTGACAGTAACCTTATTGTTGCTCTAAGGCTCACCCTCAGAAACAAAAAATACAAAAGAAAAGAAAAAAAACTCCTTGGGGGCGTTTGCGTGTAAATAAACAATGTTGTATTCCTCCGTTTCAAAGGATGACATGTGTCTATGGGGATTTTAAAAATCCAACCACGAGGTTCAGAACAAGTCTAGGCTTGAAAAGTCAAATGTGAGATGGCACACGGGGTGTTTGTTCTGGTCTTTTGGGTGACCCTTTTTTAATTTTATAGAAAAGGCAAGCAAGAGGATTCATCATTCATCGACCATGAGAAAATGAGAGTCCTGATCAAAATTAAAATCAAAGAAATGACCGCCATGCAAATCTCAGTCTTCGACCCACAAACACGGGGTTTGAAAATCCAATCCCTATCTGTGTCCCCACTCACATCAATGCATTTTGCGGTGATAGAGATTGCAGTGCCAGTGCGTTTCCCCGTAACAAATACATTTATCTCACTCTGTCTTTTCTTCAACCAACAATCTTTCCACTCGTTCGCCATTATCTTATTATTATTTATAGCAGCAGAAGAAGGGAAACAAATTCGAGCTGTATGTCTTGTATTTGGTCTACCAAGATTTAAATAAGACGTCAACCTTGCGTGATAACTTTTGGATATCTTTCTGATATGAATTATATTTAGTGGACGCCAATTGGGTGGTGATTGGCAAGCAAAAACAAATAATGCGCCACTGGGATGCCGCAGCCACCCTCGCATGCGAAAGTCAAATATGCCGCCTTGAAATTTACCCAAAGCGACAAACTGCGGTTTGACTCTTCGCCTCCATTTTTCACACGCCATGACTTCAAAACACGGATACTGCCATGGCAGAGCCTTCTCTCAAATGACCGATAAGCACCGAACAGAACACTGTACAGAAGCGTCGCCAAGATGTTAATTAAATGCCCGAGAACGACGTCGGAATAGCTTGCCCTTGAAGGCTTTTAGTCTCAATGACGAGAAGTTGACGACCCGTGATCAGAGACAATTTTTATCCGCACAGCACAGCCTCTGCAATCTGCCCGCAAATCTTCTTGTTGATCGCCAAAAGGGCATAACAGTCAATTTTCCAAAACGACCAGGTCATACCTCCTCCCCGACAATAAAACATCTCGCTTCTGTCTCAGTTCCTCTGCTTCTGTGAAGCCGTGGAAAAACATGGAGAACCTGTGGTGCTTTCTCTCTGTTGTTCTCCTCTGTTTCTCTTTCCACACCGTACCTTCGCTGGCTGCTGATACCATCTCTGCAAATCAAACTCTTTCTGGGGATCAAACCATCATCTCATCCGGCGGTGTCTTCGAATTGGGTTTCTTCAAGCCAGGTAACTCCTCCAACTACTATATAGGCATCCGGTATAAAAAGATCTCTCAACCGACCATTGTATGGGTCGCAAACAGAGACAGCCCCGTCTCTGATAAAAATTCAGCCAAATTAGTTGTATCAAACGGTAATTTGATTCTCCTCAACGGGTCCCAAATCCCAGTTTGGTCGACAAACTTGACTTCCACCACATCAAAGTCTGTTGTTGCTGTCCTCCTGGATTCTGGGAATCTCGTCCTCAGAGACAAGCCCGAGTCTTCAGAAAACTTATGGCAGAGTTTTGATAACCCAACCGACACGTGGCTTCCTGGAGGTAAAATTAAACTCGACAATAAAACGAAAAAGCCGCAATATCTCACTTCATGGAAGAACCAAGATGATCCAGCGACGGGTCTCTTCTCCCTCGAGCTAGACCCGAAAGGAACCACATCGTACTTAATTCTTTGGAACAAGTCTGAAGAGTATTGGACAAGTGGTCCTTGGAATGGCCAAATTTTCAGCTTGGTTCCTGAAATGAGGGCGAATTTCTTATACAATTTCACCTTTGTTTCAAACGAGAACGAGAGCTATTTCACTTACTCCATGTATAACTCTTCTATTATATCTCGTTTCGTGATGGGCATCTCGGGACAGATCCAGCAACTCTCATGGCTAGAAAGCACCAAGCAGTGGAATTTGTTTTGGTCTCAGCCAAGACGACAGTGTGAAGTTTATGCTTTTTGTGGCTCTTTTGGGAGTTGCAATGAGAATACCCAGCCATTTTGTACTTGCTTGACCGGTTTCGAGCCAAAGTCTCAAACTGATTGGGATCTGCAGGATCACTCAGGTGGGTGTGTGAGGAAAACCAAGTTGCAATGTGAGAATCCAACATCACCTAACAGAAAGAACGATAGGTTTCTGGCAATGCCAAACGTGGCCTTACCTAAAAATGCACAATCTGTGGGAGAAGGGAATGCTGGTGAATGCGAATCCATGTGCTTAAACAATTGCTCTTGTGCTGCTTATGCTTATGACGGTAACGGTTGTTCTGTTTGGAATGGAGATTTATTAAGTCTGCAACAACTTTCTCAAGATGACAGCAATGGAGGAACCTTATATCTAAAGCTTGCAGCTTCTGAGTTTTCTGATACTAAACGGAAAAGTGGAGAAATTATTGGTATTGTGGTGGGCATTGTAGGTGGTTTAGGGGTTCTCCTGGCCATTCTGTTATTTGTGATAATCAGAAGAAGAAGAATTGTTGGAAAAGGAAAATCGGTGGAGGGTTCATTAATGGCATTTGGGTACAGAGACTTACAAAATGCAACCAAGAATTTCTCTGAAAAACTAGGAGGAGGAGGTTTTGGTTCTGTTTTCAGAGGCACATTGGCGGATTCCAGTGTCATAGCAGTGAAAAAGCTTGAAAGCATAAGCCAAGGTGAGAAACAGTTTCGATCAGAAGTCAGTACTATAGGTACAGTCCAACATGTGAATCTTGTTCGTCTTCGTGGGTTCTGCTCTGAAGGCAACAGAAAGCTTCTGGTTTATGATTACATGCCAAATGGTTCATTGGACGCCCATCTGTTTCAAGAAAAGAACTCCAAGAAATTAGAATGGAAATTAAGGTACCAAATTGCTCTAGGAATCGC